GTGCGAACCCGGCGAGAAGGCCGAGGCGCGTGGCGTTCAGTGGGACCCCGACGGATAGCAGCCCCTCGCTCGGCTGTTCAGAGCTTTTTAAAAGGAGTTAATTTGAGTTTGCGTGCCATAAAGTTCACCCGACTAGAGTATACAATTTTGTGATTTTTAGTAAAGTTACAGAGTTGTGCAGCCATCGTCACGATCAATTTCAGAACATTTCCATCAACCCCAGGATTCCTGCTCAGCTGCAGTCGATGCCCTTCCCAGCCCCAGGCTCCCGGCTACCACTGAACAACTTTGTCGCTACAGATCTGCCTGCTAGGACGTTTCGTCTATCAACGGAATCACACCCGGTGTGGTGCCTGCGGCTGGCTCCTGCCGCTGACTTTTCTCTCGGGTCCTGGCCCCTGTGCGCCCAGAAAGCACGGTCGGATGCCCGGCGCTGGAATCCAGCCGGCTGCGCTTGCCTTCTGCGGCCCTGCACACAGCAGCCACAGTGATCTCTGAGAGGCCGAAAATCGACGTGAGCCTACTTTAAATCCTCTGGCTTCTCCCACTGCGTTCCCAATAAAATCCAGACTTCTTACCACGGCCAGCAAGACCCCACGGGGTCTGGCCTCTACCTTCCCCAAGCCCTCGTCTGCGCCCACCTGTCCTGCGTTTGCTTCCCCGCACCTGCCTTCTTTCTCTTTCCAGGTCGGTGCACTCGAACTTGCTGAACCTTCCCGGCCCTCTGCCTAAAACAACCTTCTCCTAGATCTTCTCACAATTAACTCAAAAGTCCCTGCCTCTGAGGGACATCTGACCCCTAGCGAAAGTAGCCTTACCACCCCAACCCACCCGACTCCTATTTTATTATCTTCATAGCGCCTCCCACTGTCTGAAATTGTCTTGTCTGTGTTTACTGCCAGTTTCCCTCCACTAGAATGAAAGCTCTGTGGACCCACCAAAAAAAAAAAGTTGCCTGTCATTTGGGCAAACAAAGGATGTTGCAGCCATCAAGCCCCAACAGTTCGCCCTGAGGGGAATTCAGGATGAAGAAAAAACAGAATTTTTTCTAGATAGTTAAGATGCATATCAAAGGAATAACTTCCATCTTCCCACACACAGGAAAGCACTAGCACCATTAACTTGTGATGCCTGTTTTTTGTGATTAGGAGTAATCCATCAAGCCATCACCACTATCCCCCACCCCGCCCCAAAGGGTGAGCTGGAGGGAACTCAGAATGGAGACCTGCAGGCTGCCCGCTGGCCATCAGCCACTGCAGCTGCCCCAGCAGTGCCCCCTGAGGGTACTCAAGATGGGAAAGCACAGGACACTGGCCCTGGAGAGCCAAGGTGCAGATCACAGGGATGATTTCAATGGGCCCAGACTCTTGCATCTTCCCCATACATACCAAAGTGCTAAATTTATTAACTTGAGATATGTGGTTTTCTTTAATTAACAGTAATCTTTTCATGTTCCAGCTATCCGATCTTTGTTGCAAAAACTCCTGTATATCCTGGCTCCTCCCCTACCTCTTCCGAGCAGTCCCTCAGAGTGATCTGAGAGGCTGCCTCCGGGACTTAAAGTCCTCAGAAAGTCCACCGAATAAAACATAGATCTCAACTTTTAGGTTGTGCGTTTTTTTCAGTACACAGTTGTGTGTGCTGTTTTCAGTTAACAGCTCCACCGGACAAGGGACATTGTCTTGGTGTCTCCAAGGCCCAGTGCATAGTAGCCACTCAATAAACATTTGTCAAATGCATATACTGTTATGGAAATGACAGGCCAGCCAAGACACAAGCACCACTCGGAGGGTTGGAGTACTCAGATTTATTACGCCGGCGGGCTCAGAGGGGCTTCTGCTCCGAAGCTCTGAGCACCTCCAAGACATGCGCATGGGGTTTTATAGGGTTAATTACAAGCTTGGGGCTATTAGCCAATAAGGCTCAAACAGCAAAACCAAGAAATCAGTACACTGGAGCTTATCTATTAGGAACAGATCACGTTACTGACACTTGTTGAGCTTGGATTTACGAGTTAGCTTGTTAGCCCAGAAAGCTGACACTAAACTTCAGATTTATGAGTGAGCCCAGCAGAACTTCGATTCGGTAAACCATCACTTACTACACTTAGATTTATGAGTTATCTTGTTAGCCCAGCCCTGCTTTTTCTTCACAATACAAGTGCATAAACTCAGAAAAGTTCAAACCATATCGTGTGCCCCTCCCATCCCATTCTACTGCCAAAGTGAGTTTTCCCTTCTTAAGTACAGAAATCATCCTAACGAAGCCCTCAGAATCAGGCTGAATTCCCTGTCATTTGGAAATTTCAAATTAACTTTCCAGAGCTAGTTATACTAACTGCTCTAAAAAGACTTTCTGAATCTACTACAATTAATCAGTCAGTCGGGTATTTCCTTCCTTTGACAAAAGAAAATTTTCGACTCCTGTAGGGTGTAATCACTTCAACCTTTGAGACCCAAAGAAGAAGAAAGGCCGAGGGGGAAGAAATTCAGTGTAATACGAACAGTGGTGCTTGAGGGGGAAGTTTCCTCTGTCATTCGTTACATGTTTAATACGAATTAGGAGAAATTAGGACTAGATCTATAGATTTAGAGTGCAAGAAAGATCTGAAACTCCCCTGGCGGGAACACAACACATTGTACGTAGCACCAGGACTTCAGGAGGCACTAGGAAGTCAAACAAAAAGTGTGAGAAGGAACCCTTTTAAAATTCACCTTATCCACAGTGCACAAAGCCTATCTGATACAATGACTAAATCTGTCTGGTGCACAGAGAAGCCTCCCTGGAGTGGCTACGTGGCCGCTCCAGGGCTATGGTTGAAGACGTCCGTTCTCCCCCAATATCCTCCAATGCACCATGCACCGTGCTGTCTGTCCCCTTATAAGGGGCCCCAGGAGGAATTTCTCTCAAGCCTTAAGTAGGAAAACCTGTCCTTTATTGAAAGCCAACCTATTTTTTAACCCGCGGACCCCATGATTCCTGTAGCTAATCATATTTGTTTGTTTTGTTTTGTTTTGTTCCTGAACTGAAAGCTAAATGAGGGGCCAGCCTTTGCTAAGTGCAAGGTTTCGGGCATGCTTTCCTGGGCTTGCATTCACTCCTGGTTTTATTTTACTTACCTCCTCTATTATTTCCTTCCCCCAGACCCCCCCTCTTTCCTCACACTTTTTTTTGGTAATTTTGTACTATATACACTATCTTATACACTGTACTAAAAAATGCACAACCTAAAAGCTGAGAGCTTTAATCGGCGGACTTTCTGACGCCTTGAGCTGGGTGGTGGCCTCTCAGATCGCTCTAAGAGGCTGCTCTAAAGGGGCAGAGGAGGAGCCAGGATACACGAGTTTTGTAGCAAAGAACAGGGAGTCACACATCAAAAGATTACTGTTAACTAAAGAAAACCGGATATCCCAAGTTTGGAAATTTAGCACTTCTCTGTGTATGGGAAGATGCAAAGTTCTGGGCCCACGGAAATCACTCCTCTGATCTGCACCTTGGCAGTCAGGGCCAGTGTCCTGTGCTTTTCCATCCTGAGTCTCCTCAGGGGGCACTGCTGGGGGCGGTGGCAGAGGGCTTGGCGGCGGCAGGCAGCCTGCGGGTCTCCATCCTGAGTTCCCCCTGGTTCACTGTCGCGGGTAGTGGTAGTGGCTGATGACTGATGCCCACAGCATCCTATGTTTACTGACAAGGCAGGCAATACCTTTCATTCACTACACTTTTTAAGGCTTTCATGCATTTTTAATCCTTTCTTTGGAACAGTGGAAATTCATTAATTCAACAGAAATATATTTTTTTAAAAAATCAAAAGAGTGACTACCTATCATGTGAATCCCATGCGGACCAAAACTCCTATGGCTTTAATAATTTCTGATAAATTGAAGTTCCTAATAACACTTATTCACTCGGTTGACCCTTTCAGGCATTTTGCTGAGGCTGGTGAGGGGGTGAGGAGGCCTATTCTGCGATGCTTTGAATGTCTGGACAGCTACACACGTGGACTAACTTTGCAGAGCACTTAGTGAAATTTTCTATAAAAATAAAACATTTCATTTATTAAGATTTTACAGAGAGGCACACGGGAGGACAACAAATCCCTGAAGTAAAAGGTGATGATCTCTTAAGAAGTCAGATGGGAGCTGAATTCCGAGCTTTGCGTGTTCTGGTGCAGGGGTCACTGAGGACCACGGCTAACACGAAGAAGGTCAGCAACAGGAAGCCCTTGGCCACGCACTGAGGGTAAGGCTCCCCTGCAAGACAATGTCGAATTAAGCAACGTTCTTATTTCTTAACTTTTTGGGTAATTATTTAGGTAGAAGAAATAAACCAAAACATAAATAGTGATCATTTCTAAGTGGCAACCTGATCAATAAATCTTTGTTTTTTTAAAACTTTTCTGTATGTTTTAAGTTTTCTGTGACATTTACGCTTTTGAAAAAAGTTTTTTAGTTGCCGTAATACAACGGTAACCACTCCAGGAACGTGCTTTACTCTACCTTGATAATCCTGGGTCAGTGGATACAGAAGTTGCGGCCAGCACACCTCATTTCTGTTACAGTCGTACTCTGTAAAATTGATCTGGAATCTACAAAACATTTTAGAAGATTACAATTTCTACAGCAAAGCATGCTTTTGATGAGAAGCATCAACCCCTGGTTAAAGAAATACACTTCTTATTTTTTGACTGTATTTTTTTGCTTCCTAATTATGTCAGTTAGGCCAGCAACTGGGTTACCTTGTACGTGGACGGGGTAACTGTGCAGGAATCTTAATAAACTGGACCGATGCACTGAGCGGGAAAAAGCCGGCCCCATCCTCACACGTCAGCCCACACTGGAACAGCCAGTTCACGGAGGAGAACCTGGGAGGGAAAGGTCATGCAGGCAACACACATCCACCGCTCACTTCCAGTCTGTTAAGAACGTCAGATGACAGCCACAGCGACAGTACGAGCTGGGGTTCTCTTAGAGAGGTTTCTCATTCTGCTGGTGCTTTCCCCCCGCCCTGCCTTTGTGTTGCGCCAATTTTCAAATGCACACACAGAGAAAGCTGTGTAATGGTCCCTCGTGGACCTATACCACGGGCTACAGCAATTACCAGCATTTTGCCAATTCTGTTTCGTCTCTTCTGCCCCATCATCTCATTTTATATAGGTGTTTCTAAAGCTCATTTGTTTTATCACTTGTTTATCTCAAACAATATAATAATAATAAAAAGCAACAGCATGCGGGAGGGGGTAGCTCAATGGTAGAGTGCATGCTTAGCATGCCTGAGGTTATGAGTTTAATCCTCAGTAACTCCATTAAATAAAAAATAGTAAATAAATAAACCTACCCCCCCACACAAAAAATAACAACAACAGCAGGTAATGATTTTTGAGGGCTTTCCATGTTATTTCTGCCCACCCAGCATCCCTTTGCCTTTCTTCTAGTAACTGCAATCACCCAATTTCCCCTGGGGGAACTACCCCTCCCCACTCTCAGTTGGACCAAAGGGACCCACCCGAACCTAGGGGGTGGGCCCATCACCTGTGCCCAGGCAATCAGAGCTGTCTACTGCCCTGGCCACAGTGATTGGCTCAGAAGGGAGCACGTGATGGGAACTGAGCCAATAGAAGTCTTCCCATATCATTTTTGAGAAAGGTGGGGACTCCACTGGACTTGCTAAACGGACGTAAGTCTGGAATTGCTGGAGTTCACCTTTACCACCTCTTGAGGTAATTGAGGAAAACCTCCCTAGGAATGAAGCCCACCTAAAGGAAAGAGGAGTCAAGAGATAACAGGGAAAGTGAGAGGGGAAAAATAAAGAAAGAAAACACACACACACACACACACACACACACACACACACACACACACAGAGATAAACAGGGAAAGACCCTTGGCCACGTGGGAGCCATGAACCATGACCTTGCTGTGCGTGGACTTTCCATAACTTGAACCAACAGTATAAAGTGGAAACCCTGTCACTTCAGACTGATAGAGGTCTGACACATAAAAGGTATTGTCACCATTTCACAGATGAGGAAACCGCAGTTGAGAAGGGAGTAAGGAACTGCCCAGGGTCACACAGCTCACAGCACAAGAGCCATGATTTGAACCCTCCTCTCTGCTGCCAGAATCTCCAACCACTGCGCAATATTCCCTGAGAGGTATGCCAATTATATCCATGAATTTCATAGTATGTTCTGCACTACGCAGCCCCCTACTCTTCTTTGTGCCCCTAAAATACCTTGTACATAGCTTTATAAATACTTGGGAGTGAAAATGAGCTTCCATTGCATAGTTTACATGTAATCCATTTAGACATCTAATCACTGCAATTTGGAAATAAACCATTCAGATTCTAAATTAGCATTTCCCTATTCTATGGAGGGCCCTCAACTTTACTGATTCTCTTTATTTTTAAGTTTCTTTTTTTTTTTTTTTTTTTTACTTTTTTAATGGAGGTACTGGGGATTGAAGCCACGACCTCGTACATACTAAGCACGCACTGTACCTCTGAGCTATTGCCTCCCCCTCCTTTACTGACTGTCTTTAAACTATGCTCATCCAAGATGTGATCATACCTTGTCTCTACGCCAAGTATCTCCTGCTGAGTAATCCCCTCCACGGTGCCAGCATCCGAGAAGAGGATGCGGACGCTCAGCTGAGCAGGGACATCCAGGCAGACACCATTCGTGCTGCTGTTGGGTGAGTCTGCACCTGTATCAGGGGCATCTGCACCTGGGGAAATGTTAAGTTGTGCATTTTGGAAAGAATAATTTAGTAATAGTTTTCCTACAATGCCATGACGCCCCCTAAAGTGGGAAATATGATTAGACAGGAAGAACCTTCACCAGGCTTTCGTCTCTAACAGGCTCTACTGCCCGTCACTCCAGAACAGCATCATCCCTGGTGTTCAAAACGTCTCCTTGCAAGTGAAGGCAATCACTGGAACTTTAAAAATCCCCAATCCACATAATAAAACCATAAATTATGATTCAGTTCCCAAGTTCCTCATTGAAATCCACCCAGGTTTTTAACAGAAGCACCGTTTAACAGCAGTACAATGCCATGAGACTTATCCATGCGGCCACTTCTAGTAAGAGCTGTGTAAGGCATTTAAAATCCATACTAGCAACGTGAGTTAATATGGATTAAATCATTCAAAAGCAATTTCCTGATGTGTTGTCACAGCAGGAATACAAATGGCAGAGAATAAAACTGAATAAGAGACTAATTTTCATTCATCTTGAAAATTGGCACTTAAGAGGAAGAAACAGGAAGGTCGATTACAGGACACGGATGGCAAGTTCTGTGGTGAACTCTGGAGGCGATTTCTTTGTTCCTTTGGGGATTTTTTTTTTCTTTAAGCTTTTTTTAAAGGAGGGGGCAATAATTAGGTTTGTTTGTTTGTTTGTTTATTTAAATGGAGGTACTGGGGATTGAACCAGAACCCTGTGGATGTCAAGCATGTGCTCTACCCCTGAGCTATACCCTCCCTCCCCAGGGATTTTTTTTTTAAATTGAAGCATAGTCGATTTACAATGTTGCGTTAGTTTCTGGTGTACAGCACAGTGATTCAGTTACACACATACATATATATTCCTTTTCATATTCTTTTTCAATATAGGCTGTTACATGGTATTGAATATAGTTCCCTGTGCTGTATGGTAGGACCTTGCTGTTTATCTGTTTTATATACAGTGGTGTGTATCTGCAAACCCTGAACTTCGGGGGGTTTGAAGGTCAGCAACACTGCTTCTTCATGATGTCCAGTTTCTTCCTCCTTGATACATGTGTTAAACATCACTTCTCTTCTGTTTATTAACCAGGATGGAGGTCGACTTTCAGCTTAGACATGAAGTAGAAGCTAACAGCTTCCACCTCAAAGGCAACAAAATGCCATCACCTCTGACTTTTCACCAAAGCAACTCAGGTTCTCTACCTTGAAATTCCGCAGACTTTTCACTTCTCAGGTGCTTTACTGACCCCTCCCCTCCACCCCGCAGGCACTTCCACAGCCCACCTAGCTGGCCTGGGTGGCAAAGCCCAGGGGTTGACAAACCCCGACCTCTGGGTTCTGTTTCCAAATGGGGATCTAACTCTGGGCCTAGTGACCTGAGCAGAGGCTGGACTGGCACACCGTGGCCAGCAGGACCCCCTGCCCGAGTCAGAGAGTGGTCAGGGGCACCTGAGCACACAGACATATAAAGCGATCCCAGGCCACCCAGGGGGCAGGGGAGAGGGGGTCGTAATGAGCCAGACCCCAATCAAGTGCAGGCACGTGTCTGGATGGTCCGTTGTGCAAACTCCTGCCTAATGAGCTGAGGTGACCTCGGAGGGCGTGGAAAGGGTGAGGACAGGATGTAGGGAGCTGCTCCCCCACCAGCCAGGCAGAGGCGAGGGCCGCAGTAGCGGCTGCAGGGACAGGAGGGGACTTGGCAAAGCAGACACTGCAGAGTCACTCAGTTCTTTCAGGCCCCAAAAGGCAAGGCCAGTAATGAGAGCAATAGGAGAAGCTTTCCTTCTGTTCAGTGATTTACACACTCAAGACTCCCCAAGAAATCGGAAAGATGTCACCTGACTTCCTAGCTGGGAAGAGAGGAAGGAGACGGGAACCCTGGGTCAGTTAGCTCTGCCGCAACTAACTGTGACTTCAGACAACCCGAGCGAGCTGGAGCTCAGTGACCGGACGGACATTTTAGATTCGGAGGTGAGATCGGGGCTGTCGTGGCTAAGTCCGGTTCACATCTGCTCCACGTGCCACATGTGGTCTATCTCCTCATCCTCCCACACCATGCCCCCTAGGAACCCAAGGCTGACAGCAAACACCGGTCGCCTGTGACCAAAGGCACTGGCCTGTCAAGTCTTTCTGTCTGGCCTTGGTGACCCTGCTTCATTAGATCTGCTGCACCTTAATTTCCTTCTTTCCTTTTTAACAGCTTTCCTGAGATATACCATATAATTCGTCTATTTAAGTATACAATTCAACCGTCTTTAGTTATTTTCACAGAGTTGTGCTACCAGCAGCAGGTTCACTTTTAGAACACTTTTCATCACCCCAAAAAGAGACCCTCATTTCCTTCCAGCCGCCCCAGCCAGGTGGCCGTTTCACACACACGGAGTCATACCGCGTGCGGTCCCCTGGGCCCAGCTCCTTTCCCCTAGCAGAGAGCTTTCTATCACCTTATCTCCCTCCCCGTTAACAAGACTGCTTTTGTAAATTACAAAGCCAGTTCTCAGTTGCCCATATTCCTGGCCATCAAAAACATCCACGCAAACTGACATGCACTGAAAATCCTCAAACCTCGTCTAGACGTCCTTTGCCAGAGACCATTAGCTTGTAAAACAACCGGGCAATTTGAAATTCCTGTAGATTTCCTCTTAAAAAACAAACAAACAAACAAAAAGATGTCATGAATAAGAGGTAAAAGATGTGAAGAGCCTGCTGCATGGAGAGCTAACCACTAAACAAATGTCAGTTGGGCCGCAGCAGGGAAACCTGTCCGGTTGGGTGGGGCTCTAACGCCTAACCCGCAGCTGACACTGTGTAGTCATAGCAACCGAAGTAAACATTTCACACACGTGCAGCTTTGACTTACGTATTATTTCAAGCCAGCCGTCGCTGAGATCATTGTAATCGGAGTTGCCTCTCATTGCAACGTGAGTTGCTGGTATTAATGAATCAAGGAGTTCAATAGCATTCTCCCTGCAAGAGAGTAAGACATTTCTCAGTTTGTGGCCAGCAAGTCTCGTCCTGAAGTCCTTTCAGAGAGTGTCCAGGTTGTGCGTGCTGGATTCCTACACAAAAATCTGCCAGGGGAACTGGCTGGGAGTCTCGGATAGCACTCCTTGGATGGATCTTTGCAGCTAGAGGAGGACAGACAGAAGCAATCTTTCACTTCAGACATAAAACGTTAGTAACTTACGTTGGTACCATGTGGTTTACAGGCTCCTTTGAGTGTCACAAAACTTGGGAGGTGGGCGGATCACACATCAGGTTACCGGGATTAATTCAGGGGCCAGAGGGATCCAACAACAAAAGGAACCTAAATATTTAGCCAGAATGTTGAGCTATAAAATTGAGTGGATATTAAGAATTGGAACTTAGCATCTCTCCTTTCCAGTAACGTCACTGGAGGGTACAAATCTTATGAGCCATAAGGGAGAGACTCTGACTGTGGACTCGGGCGTTGCACCCTGCGATCAGGAGCTGCTGTGGGTAACCTGTACCCAAAGTTTTTCTTCCCTTCTCAAGTCTCCCCTATCTTTTCCCTGCTCCCCAAAGAACTAAGCCACTTAGATATGTTACAGATGAAATGGGTGTACAAATACACGGGATCAAAACCACAAGGAGACACCACTTCACACCTACTAGGATGGCTATTATCCAAAAAAATGGAAAACAACAAGCGTTGGTGAGGATGTGGAGAAATTGGACCCCTTTTTACGTTGTTGGTGGGAATGTAAGATGGCGCAGCCACTGTGGGAAAACAATATGGCGGTTCCTCAAAAAATTAAAAAAGGAAATACCACATAACCCAACAATTCTATTCCTGTATTTTTGCCCCAAAGAGAAATCAGATGTTCACTCTTCCAGCTGCCTGGGAGACTGTGGAGGCCTGATGGGAACAGGGCTTCTAAAACAATAAGTACTTCTGGAAGGCTGTGGTCCATGGCCATTTTTGCCGGCTATAGGAGGGGCCTCCGCAACCAGAGGGGGCACACAGCTCTGCTTAAAATTGAAGGTGTTTATGCTCGAGATGAGACTGAATTCTATCTAGGCAAGAGATGTGTTTATGTGTACAAAGCAAAGAACAACACAGTGACTCCTGGTGGAAAACTGACCAAAACCGCAGTAATCTGGGGAAAGGTAATTCGTGCTCATGGAAACAGTGGCAAAGTTTGTGCCAAATTCCAAAGCAAGCTTCCTGCTAAGGCTATTGGACACAGAATCTGGGTAATGCTGTACCCCTCAAGGATTTAAACTTATTAAAATAAATAAAAGTGTGGATTTGTTCTCTTGTTAAAAACAAAAAACAAAAAACAGGTGTTCAAACAAAAACCGATACCCGAATGTTCATAGCACTATCCACAATAGCCAAAAGGTGGAAGCACCCCAAATGTCCATAACTAATGAACGGTGAAACAAAATGTAGTCTAACCATACAATGGAATACGATTCAGCCATGAAAGAGTCAAGTATTGACACAGGCTACGGAAGTGGAGGAACCACAGAAATAGGATGTTGAGACTTAAAAAGTCAGACTTAAAAAGATAGATTTTATGCCATACATAAAAAGTCACAATGTGTATGATTCCATTTATATGAAATATTCAGAAAAGGTAAGTCCATAGAGACAGAGGCAGACTGATTGCTGCCAGAGCTGAGGGGAGGAAGGACTAGGGAGTGACTGCTAAAAGGTACAGGTTTCATTTTGCAGAGATGAAAATGTTTTGGAACTAGATAGAGGTGTGGTTGCACAGCATTATGAATGTAGTAAATGCCACCGAACCGTTCACTTTAAAATGATTATGTTGTATGAATTTCACCTCCATTAAAAAAAAAGAATGCATATCCATAAATTTTCCAAACGTCACCCAGACAATAAAGTGGAAAATTCTTTATACATCATGTAACAGGGCTTGAGAATTCTTTAAATGTTAATCACCAATTATACTTTGCTCCAGCCTTTTTCTAATTCTAGGAGCATGGGGTTTCAACGATGTGAACAAACTTCACAGAGAAATCTTTCGCAAAAATATGGATGAAAACAGTTTTAGTCCCTAGAAAGTCTGTTATCACTTACACTGATGTTTGAATCAATTCTAAATTATATTGGAAGTTTGTATTCATTACTATGACTTTTACATTAAGTTTTTATTCAGAATGTAATTTTTCACATCCATGTTCTCTTTTAGTATTCATGGATGAATTAAATTTAAGCAAGCCACTCAAAATGCAGATAAATGAGACACTCACCTGAGCTGAGCACAGTTTTCATTCATTGCAACTTCTAAAAGGCACCCAGATAGTGCATTTTCTCCAAATAAAACGGGTTTGAAAGTTGCTGATGTACACAGACCCCTTCCAGCTATAAAATAAAGAGATTATCCTCTTACTATTTTTGCAAAATAAAAGATTTGCTTCAAAGTTTTTTCTTGAAAAACAGAGAGAAAATAATGAACAGAAATAAAGTGTCCAGCTTTTGAGAACGGAGGTCATCGTTACTCTAATCCTTTGAAAGCTGAACAAAGGCATCCTTCTGTGTCAAAATACCTGGACGGGGATCAATGGTTTACTCTAAATAGGAAAGTTAATGCCTTCTGGCAGATGTGAGTAATTACCAATGAGCCAGAGATTTTTTTCCATAGTTTGGAATGAAACTATTCTGTCTCTGATTAGCACCACCTTAGGCTAATCCATGACCACAGTGACAGTGGGCTCTCGAGCCAATTTCACACTTAAGTCTCTCTTACCTAATAACCAGCACTACAAGTGCAAGCAATGTTAATATTTTTTACCAAAAAAGAAAGAAAGGAAGGAAGGAAAAGACTGAAAGAGAAAGAGAGAGGGAGAGGAAAGGAAGGAAAGAAGAAAAGAAAGGAAAGAAGGAAAGAAGGAAGGAAGGAAGGAAGGAAGGAAGGAAGGAAAGAAAGAAAGAAAGAAAGAAAGAAAGAAAGAAAGAAAGAAAGAAAGAAAGAAAGAAAGAAAGAAAGAAAGAAAGAAAGAAAGAAAGAAGGAAGAAAGAAGGAAGGAAGGAAGGAAAGAAAGAAAGAAAGAAAGAAAGAAAGAAAGAAGGAAGGAAGGAGGAAGAAAGCTGTAGAGGCATGGAAAACCACCACCCCGAGGCTAAATAAACAAATTGGGCTTTAAAATAATCAATGACTTTGTCAGATTCAAAATACAGTAATAGTTACAATTATAGTTCACTGGAGAGTTAATCATACCACTAAACCAGCTTACCTGATTGCCAAAGGTGTAAAGTCGTGGCGTTACTCATCTGGTTGGTACTCAGAGCGCGAACGGGCTTGCCAAGCTGGTAACCTAGACAAACGTGACCCGGGAGAGTGAGCGTCTTTCCTTCAGAAGTTGTTCTAACGCAGCCGCAGGTCCTGTCCTAGCTCATCAATTACTACACAGGAGGAACCCACAATGAAAGGAAGTGCACAGCAAGGCTTTTGCAGAATACCCTTGACAGAAGGACATCACCTTCATTCGTTTCATTTTGTTTTGTTTTTAAAACAAAGATGTCCGTGTGATTTTCTTTTTTTAGTACGCTTTTTAAGTGAAATCTGAAAAGTGACGAGCAGGCAGGAGTCGGTCTTGGACCTCTCTCCCGGAGAACATAAGCTGCCAGGCAGGCCGGTTCATGAAGACCTGCTGAGTGATTCACACCGCTTATCACAGGGGCTCGAAAGGGAAGCTGAAACCAAAGTAGCCTCCCAGTGGAACCCTTCTCCAGTAACGCGGTTCAACCCCAAGGTCTGCTTTATGTCCTGTTCCCATCCATCTATTCATCCAGCTTATTGTTTCCTCCTTTTTAATATGAAAAAGTTCCCAAGTACAGAGAAGTTTAAAGTAATACCGTGAACCTCAGTACAGCCACCACCTAAAATCAGCAACTGTAACAGTCAGCCGTACTGTATGGTATAAGCATATATATTTCGGGGGAGGGGCAGGGCGGTTTGAACATAAGCTGTAGACGTCAGGACACTTTACTCCGAAAAGCTCCATCATACATCTCCCAATATTAAAGCTATTCCCCTACATAACCAGGATGCCAATGTTTCTCCTAAGAAAATTAACAGTAATCCTTTATAGTCATATCATATCCTGGTCACACTCCTGTTTCCTCCTACACTCCCCGTCAAAAATGGGTTTTGGAGCTGTTTTTACACACCGGGGTACAATCGAGGTTTGCACATGGTGTCTGTGTTTCCAGCGTTAGGTCCCACCATTCCTGACCAGGTCGGGGGGCTCCCCTGTGGGGGCTGGTCCCACCCTGCCCGGGTCTGCTTCCTGCTCATGCCTGCCTCCCACCAGGTTAGTCCTGCTCCGTCCCTCTCCCAGGGCCCTTTCTAGTCCTCGCTCTTGAAAGCGCAGTCTCCTCCACACCGTCCTGAGTGGAGACTCCCGCCAAGGGCAGGGCTCCAAACAGACACGTACATGTATAACTGAGTCACTGTGCCGTACACGGGAAACTAACACAACATTGTAAATTAACTGTACTTCAGTTTTAAAAAATGGTAAAAAGATGATAATAAAAATAAAATATATAAAAAATGAATCATGTATGATTAAGTCAGTATATATAAATATTGAAGATCACACAAAATAAAAAGTTATTTAAAAGTAAAAAGGTTGTTCCTTCATGATTAATTACTGCCTGATGAAGAATAGTAAAAGGAAACAAGGACCTACTGTACAGCACAGGGAACTATATTCAATTTCTTGTAATGAAATAAAGTGGAAAAGAATCTGAAAATATGTGTGTATATGTATATCTGAATTGCTTTGCTGTACACCTGAAACTAACATTGCAAATCAACTACATCTCAAGAAAAAAAAAAAGGATAGTAAAAGGAGGGGGAAATTTTTTAAGAAACAGTGAGCTAGATTTAGCCAACAAATATTTACTGAACGCCTCCTATGGTCTAAGCCAGTGCTGACCAACAGAAATATAATGCAAACCTCATATTTGATTTTAGAATAATACATATTTTTAGAATGTTTTTAAATTAAAAAAATTTTTTTTCTAGTAGCCTCATTAAAAAAAGAGAAAAAGAAATAACTGAAATAAATTTGAGTGACATATTTTATTCGACTCAATATATCTAAACTATCATTTTCCACATAAGACACTGGCCGCATTTCAAGCGCCCAGCAGCTGCAGGGGGCTGGTGGCCAGCACAGTGGACGCTGCGGTCCGTGGACTGCTCTAGGCCCTGCGGAGGCAGCGGTGAAGGGAAGAAACAAGCAAGGACACGGCAAACTGGGTGGAGATGTATTTGCACATAAATACAAAATGCACAACATGATTGGGTGCTCACAGTCCTCGGGGAGTCTCTCCACGGATTCTGGGTTAGGAATCCATCATCTGGAGTTTATTTCTTATTTATCTCTTTATTTTTCAGTTGAAGGATAGTCAGTTTACAATGTTATGTCGATTTCTGGTGTACAGCACAATACATCAGTCACATAGGAACATACGTGTATTCGTTTTCATATTCTTTTTCACTGTAGGTTACTACAAGATACTGAATATGGTTCCCTGTGCTTGGTGTTCTTCAAAAGCTAACTTTACTGACACTTGAAATGCCTTCTCTCTTCAAAAGAGAGCTAAAGAATGTTTCCAGTTTACAACAACTTCTTACAATATACAACACTGTATGTAAAAAAAAAAAACTAAGTTGTTATCAGAAAAAGAACACAGTATCACAAAAGGAAAGGACAGCGTCACAAACTAAAATTGGAGAGTTACTTAGACAATCACCATTACAGCATGGGGTTGTTGAACTAAAATATGTTTGTAAGGCCGGTGACTGATGCATGTGCTACCTCACCTGGATTTCCAGATGATTCCTTTTCATTACCACTGTTATAGCTTAAAAATTTCACTGTAAATTTCTGTGTCATGATTCCTAGAAATAAAATAAAAATATGTCAGCATTTCACTGGGAAAAGTAATTATCCCCCAGAGTTATTTTCTTTACCTTATTAATTGCATTTTGACGTGCAAAAAAAAAAAGGTTTTGATTAGATCATAAATACAAGTAAGAAAAAAACGGTCTGAATTAGTTTACATGTTATAATTATGAGAATCATGAAAAGAGGAAAAAAATACTTAAAAACTGAAAGCATTCTCGCTGCCTCTACAAAGCTACCTTTCTGCTGGGCTTAACTTCTGCCCTAATAATTCTGACGTTTATTTCACTGATTGTATTATTATTCCATCTGAAAATATAATGTTCTTCCACATTCACGTTCCTGGGGGCTGGTCCGCGGCTCAAAAGTGTTTCTGCAAATAAAAGGATACTTTTGTAAATTAGAGACCCTCTTTGGACTCCAGGCTGTTACTGGTGGTTCTCTCCGCCTGGGTGGCCCTCCCCCCAGGCCCCACCCCCCGCCCTGCCTACCCAGCTCCTAACACAGCAGGGTCGTGACTTCCTCAGGAGGCCTTCCCCAGTTGTCATTAGCTGCCTCCTCTGTTCCACCCCAATACCCTGGGTGAGGTCTGGTGTTTTATTTCTGCACACCTGGTGCCTGACTCATAGCCCGATGCGGAGCACGTGCTTGGAAGATTGGCCGAACTCTGTGTACTTTGTTTGGCCACATTACAATCACAAAGTTTAATGATCAAAAAAAGAAAAGGAAAGCAAGTACGAAATGAAAATGCAGGGTCCCAAAGAATTCTTTAACTGTCTGAAAAACATGTCAGAAAAGGTTCGTAGACCCTGGGGATGAGAATCCAGGAGGGTCTGGCTCGAGGTCACAGGTGTTACTCCAAAGTAAGGCAAGACGGAACGGGGAACAAAATGCCAGTGGGATATCCTCTGAACAGTTGTGAACTTCGTAAAATTCTT